TAATTTATTTAATAATTATATTATTGTAATTAGTTTCAGCTTTATATACATCATACGATTTTTTTTATAATTATTAAAACATACAGTCTATAAAATAGGCTCTTTTTTTCTATATTCGACAGTCACAATGAAAAAATGTTCAACGGAAAAATAATATAATAAAATTATAATGTGTCATGTGATGTGATGTGACATTTCTAATCATAACAGTGTTAATAACTCATCTCTAATAACTGATTTATTTTCTCTTTGTCATGATGACAGTAAATAATATTAGACTAGATATTCTTCAAGACACTTCTATACAGCTTAAAGTGACATGTAAAGGCTTCATATACACATATACATATGTGTGTGTGTGTGTGTGTGTGTGTGTGTGTGTGTGTGTGTGTGTGTGTGTGTGTGTGTGTGTGTCAGATGATTTGATTTGTCTCAGTGCTCTGGTGTATTTATCAGTGCTTGGAATTTGTTCATTATTTATTTTGTTTGCAAATGATTGAATCCCTGTCAGCGTCATCCCTTCAACCATTGTATTCATATCCTCTGTATATGCGTGTGTGTGTGTGTGTGTGTGTGTGTGTGTGTGTGTGTGTGTGTGTGTGTGTTTCCACTCAACCCTGCGCAGACACACACCAGCAATCACAGATTTACTATTACAGCACATGAATTATTGAGACTCTTCAGCTTACAGCAGACGGAGAGAGAGAGAGAGACAGAAGCTGAGAGAAAGAAAGAAAAAATCTGAAAGAAAGAAAAAGGGAAGAAAGAAAAAAATATGAAAAAAGCATGAAAGAAAAATGGAGGAACCAAGAAAGACAGAAAGAAAAATGACAAAAACTGAAAGAAAAAAGTAAAAGAAAGACGAATAGAAATAATAAAAAGAAAGAAAAATTAAAAGACTAAAATAAAGGAAAAACTAAGAAAAATGAAAGTGTTTGTTTGCTTTATTTATAGAGCACATTTAAAAACAACAGATGTTGACCAAAGTGCTTTACAAAAAGACCAGCATACAAAATCTATACCTATATATAAAAATAAGCAAAATATATAAAACAGATTAAAATCAATTAATTACAATCAAAGGCAAGAGACAGAAGGTGATTGTTTAGATGAGACTTAAAAGCACCAAGTGAAGAACATGACCGGATCTGTAAAGGCAGACCATTCCACAGTCGGGGGGCTGCAGCAGAAAAAGCCCTGTCACCTCTTGATTTCAACCGTGTTTTGGGGACAACTAGCTGAAACGTGTTTTCAGACCTGATTGGCCTCAATGAAGTGTGCCAGTGAAGAAGCTCAGAAATGTAAATCGGTGCCAGACCATTCAAACTTTTAAAAACTAGTAGCAATAACTTATATTGAATTCTAAATTAGACTGGGAGCCAGTGAAGAGATGATAAAACTGGTGAGATACTAGAAAAAAAATTTTGTCCCAGTTACAAAGAATTAGAGTAGTCCAGTCTGGACATAATAAAAACATTTATGATGGAAAGAAGAAAAGAAAGAAAACTAGTGAAAAAAGAAAGAAAAATAGAAAGCAAAAGGAAAAAAGAAGCAAGGAAGAATATAAAGTATGAAATAAAAAAGAAAGAAAAAGTTAAAAAGAAGGAAATAGAAATGGAAAAGAAAGAAAGAATAAAATAGGATAAAAAAGTAAAAAGACTGAAAGGAAACAGAAATAAAAAGAAAGCATGAAAACAAAGGAAAATGAAAAAGAAAACAGAACAAAAAAGAAAGAATAAAAGCATAAGAGAAGAAAAAAAGGAAAAAACTAAAATAAAAAGGAAAAAGAAAGAAAAACAGAAAAGAACGAATAATTCACTCATTCATTTTCCTTCCGTTTAGTCCCTACATCTATACATCTGAGGTCCCCACAGTGAAATGAACCTCCAACTGCAACCCAGTAATGGAAAACACCCATACACACTCATTCACACACACTCATACACTACGGCCAGTGTAGTTGATCAGTTCCCCTATAGCGCATGTGTTTGGACTGTGGGGGAAACCGGAGCACCCGGAGGAAACCCACACCAACTGACCCAAACTTGAACCAGCGACCTTCTTGCTGTGAGGCCACAGTGCTAACCACTGAGCCACCGTGACACCCCTGAGAAAGAATTAAAAGAAAGAAAAATGTAAAAACCAAAAAAACTCATGTTCAGCTTCACACACACACACACACACACACACACACACACACACACACACACACACACACACACACACACACACACACACACATATTTCATAAACACATCACACATTTACACTCTCTCTCACAGCACAAATCTCTCCACACTGTGAATAAATCCGGGTGCGTTTACTGGAGATGATCACAGAGGCTGAATATTAATTAATCACTAATGAAAGCTGTATGAATATGAAATGAGATTGATGATTAAAGCATTAAAGCGTGAGATTTATGATAAAAGCAGAGCTGTGTGTTCTGCTGCAGTCAGACAAATACCCTTCATTACAGAAGATTATTATAGCAGTATTATTCTGACCTCTTCACTGGCAGCTTCATCTGTTCTTCTGCTTTTGTGTTCGAGTATAAACTCTCATTATAGTTTCAGAAAACAGCCATTATTAGATTAAATAAGACTTTATTTATTTCTGTTGTATTGTTTTTCTTTCCTAAATAACAGCAATTCTGTTTTATCTGTTATTTTTAATGTCTTTTTGAGGTTTTTAAATACCTTAATCATTTTTAAAAGTAATAATAATAATAAAGTATATAATTCATCATGCAATTGAAATAAATGATTACACTCAAACAAATACAATAAATATTTGCAACATCCTGCAAATTTAACAGCAATTACATTTTGCAGCTCCATGAAAAGCATTTTTTCTCACAAAA